TATCATCATCAGTAATCTGTCAAGACGACAGGTCCACAGTCTCTTCCAAAACAATTCCTCCACTTAATGCGATCTAGAGCTTTCTCCTTCAAATGACAGTATCCTCTTCTGTCCCCAAGGTCATCCAGCATCTTCTTACGTCTTCTTGTCACTTCTATCCGCCCCTCTATCTTTCCTTCGATAACTTCTTTTAGAAGGCAGTTTCTGTGTATATGGCCAATTAATTCCAAACTCAGTGCTGTGTCTTGGATCTAAAGTCTGAATAACAAGTTAAATTTTTTCCATAGCTATGAAAGGTTGCCAAAGGGACCAAGAAAACAAGACAGGAGAACTGTTGATGACACATCTCTGGAGATAAGTTTGGAATCCTACCTTTATTTGAATTTTCTTTGGAACAGCTTCAGAGGCTTATTTATCCTCTTTTTTTGGGTGGTATTTTCAACCATATTAGAAGGGGTTATCCACATCCATGTGGATACATAGGACTATTCATTCATGAAACCTCTCATATTTCAAAGAAATATGAATTGTAGAGCAGGTGGCTAGCACAAATAACTTGATTTAATTAGGATTTGGAACGAAACACAGTAAGATTTGTTACGTACAATTAATTCCCTGAAAAAAAGTAATTATCACGAATAGTAAAATTATTCTCGGGTTGGTAACTTCAAGAAACAGCATGTGTTCTCTCACTATACAACTGAAGCCTGAAAAAGGTCCTGTAACAGTATAAATTTCAGAGGAAGATGAAAAGTAGTTTAGTCATCTATAAACTGTATTAAAATGTTCAAAGTCTGAATGGCTGATTACCTTAGCTACCTGTGGAATAGCTTCAAATAATTCAATGAGTTTTGTGAAGCCATAATCAGCAACTCGACACTGGTGTCCGTAATGATGATGATACGCAGGGATGAATTTGTTGAACAGCATGCTGCACTGGGGAGCATGCCGCAGAAGTTCTACAACCTGAAACATTCATTGCAGGCATAACAAAAGAGATATAAGCATGGATGCTTGATAATGAACCAAACCATATTTTGTAGTAACAATCTAATAAGATGGCTTAAAAAACTGAGAAAATTGAGTCACTAAATAAATCAACGAACTACACAGATTTTGAGGTTCTCATAGGTGAGGATCTGGAAATAATATCTTCTGGGAGATAACGCCGTGCAGTCCGTCAAAAGCCTACCTATGTTTTAGAGGAACATGTCACCTCCAACTTTTGGGTTGAAGTGTATGCCAAGTAAGAAACCAGCATGAAGCTGGCAGCAAGCAGGATCCCAAACCAAATGCCTACAACCCACGCACGACTTATCTTCCCCCCTCCTTGTTTCTTGGCCCATCATATACCTAATACTTCCCCCATGCTCCCATATCAACACACTGGCCCTTTTCAGGAACACAGTTTAGTCACCCCTCTTGGCCTCTGTTGATTCACCTTGGGTTTTCTCAGAAATCAAGTCGAACTAGTCTCATGTTTCTGCAATCCCCTTGCTTTATCTGCTGGTTTTTTGTTTCGCTTACTCATAAACTCTGAAGATGGTGGCAAAGGTGTTCCTTCAAAATGTCAGCTGACTTTCAATAGACTACATGGCGTTATATCCCAAAAGACAAAACTCTTCAAATGAACTACATCTTTGAATAATGTTTATTCACCTCATTATGATGAGAAAAAGTCATCATGAAAACCTTTCTCTGGACCTACCCCTAAGGCTGTTCAGTTCACAATCATAACCTGTTCAGATTTATTTTTGTAGCATATTTCTACCTACTTATCACAGACTGTGTCATGATTTAATGCCATAAATCTTCCCCCTGTAGATCTAATGATGAAGAGCTGGGCTGAAAGTTTATTACATCCCATATACTGACATGTTACAGTATTAAATAGTGGTACAGCCATCCCTGAAATGTGACAGGAGTCGGGTGAGAAGCAGTCCACTAACTGCTGAGCTAAAGCATAAATGCATTAAGTTCTTCATTCCCATCCCAGTTACCTACACAAAAATAACATAATTTCTGTATTATAAAATTCATTTCAACGCTTTAAATCTTAGCATACAAGACAATTACTCCTTCTTACACATACTCTAAATTGTTGTTTAAAATACTCTAAGATGCTTTTTATCAGAGAATAGTTTGAGTTCAATACAGTTTTTAAGCTAGAACCTCAAAACAGAAACTAGATTATCAAAAATTAATCCACCTATCTGTGCACAAAAAATTTTAAATAATGAACAATTATACATGCAACTGTTCTTGTTCTTGTATGGTTAATTTGGTTTTTTCATACATATAGCCTATGCTTTGAAATACAAGAAACGTTAAATGCAATAAACTTTTGAACAGAACTGTAACACATATTTTGATGCAAACTGTGTGGTCGCCTGCGGTAGTAAATATTTTCTTCTCCTGCACGTCGTCTTCATACTTGAACTTCTCTAACACAGTAATGGTCAGAAAATAGTTGATACTGTAATGTTTATCTTGTTCTAGAGAAGTCATTTACAGTCTGTCAGGATCATGATATCAGTCTTCTTGAACTCACAACTGCCAGCTCACTGAATTGTTTCACCACACCCAAACTGTCAATTCCTGCTTCTAAGGGTAGAGTAACATGAATTCGCCAATTCCATCTGCTTTTATCCCTGTGTAGTATGTTCCACCTTGAGAATGTTCCTTTAGGGGTGGGTGGAGGCCATGATTTTGTTGAAAAGAGGTGTGCAGAATGCTTCCACTCCAACCCCCTTGCCCATGTAACAATACTGTCATGAATTTTAGTGACCAGACACAGGGTTTGAATTGGTAATGGGATTTACTGGACTCTTATAACACACAACTACGATGAATTATAGCACTCTCACTAATTCAAACTCTTTATAATTTGCTACATCATCTAAGTCTTCCCAGTCTACCTTCATTAGATGTTGCCTGGTAAGAGATTCCAACAATGTCCTCTTCAGCTCACATCATTACCAGCTAGTGACTGTCTCGTCTCCCAGTGTCCTCATATCCTTGAATTTTAGGCCAGAACTGTCTAACCAAATCAAAGTCATGTTACAACCGTCAGTCAGTCAGCCAGTTGGTCGATCTTGGTGTAATTCCCCATCTGGGGCGCAGGACCAGATATTTCTTACTGTCTGACAGCTGCAGTTTTCTTGATGGTTTTGGTCCCTGTTGTATAGCATTGGCATAGGCTCAGAGAAAACACCGCTTCCAACAATTCCTCTACTGTTGCGTGTATCCATTGCCACAGGAACGTGTTTACCAAGCTATTCCCTAGCAATAGTCATTTCTTCTCGCTCTGCACTTCTGGCTTTCAGCATGTATGTCACAATATTATAGCCAGCATCATGTGTCTTTCTGAGGATGATTTTATTTAACCTTGTAATACAGTAAAACTAATATGCTCTTTATAATAGCATTGCTGGCCCTCGTCTTGATTGCATCAAGGACTACCACACTGAGATGAACATGAAGCTAATGTTATGCACATCCCCAATTCTGCAGATATTGTAGCAGCTACAATCATTTCAGCCCATTCATGTAATTTTGCCAATTTAAATTTTTATCTTTTCTGTCTTTAAGTTTTTAAATTTAAATCCACTAGCACTGTGGACTTAAACATTTACATATTTAAAGGCATACATGATGAGTGGTACTATTTCTGGAAATGTGTGAACATTATGTATTTTTCAAAAATTTATTAATAGGTAATGCAAAAACATTCTACCAAAGAAGAAAAAATTAAACACACAAATTTCATTTGCTTGTAACTTTCAAGTTGAAGTGATGCATGTACCCCACGAGGCTGTTAAATGGGAAGTGCTAGTCAGATAAATTGAAAAGTAAAATAGGCTATGTGTTGTTATAGCTTGAATTGTCAGCCTGGAAGTGTAGCCTCCACATTCAGTTTTGGATTGGTGGGATTCTAATTTTCAGTGTTTGGTTAGTACAAGAAATATTGTAAAGAGGCAGCCTTCCTCTCATATATTTCCATCAGGCAAACCATAATTAGCCTAATGGAGCTCCACATACAAAAACAATGTAACAAACGCTGTTAATATTCATAAATTCCTTACCTCTCCTGCAAACTGTTTAGTCTTTTCAATTTCTTCGGGTGTCTGTTCCCTCTTTGGTATTGAAATTATTACATCAGCATCTTCTTGTGTTGAGACAACGATTGTGTTCTCTGACACTTCTCCCAGCATGTCTCTAAATTCACACACTCCATAATCCACAATGTCCCACAGCCGATTAAAAACACGCTGATAGACTACAGGGAACTCTGATACAGTAACTTGTTTGCTTGCTTGTGACTTCAGAATTCGGAGCAGATCAGACGTAAAACGACGCACTTGGGCTCGATGTGAGAGAGTTATGACTCTTTTGTTGCCTTCTCCCATCACCTGAAAAGTAAAAATAATGTAATATTGTCTTAACCTTCTACAGTTTGTAGAAACTCTCAATGCTCACTGTCATAACACACAGTTAGTGTCATGGATGTGAAAAGAGTCCTTCACCGAAAATAATTAAATGACCACACATCTGCCTACTAGTAATTACTATTACGCATGAAATATAAAGAACTCCAATACCGGAGTTGCTTCTTAGTATTCCTGTTGTGAATTGTTCATAATTTTGCCAAATTTCTGTATTATAATTTCAGCTATATCCTGGATAGTTCAATTCATCTCAGGCTTCTTTCCACAGAATTCTATCTCCTCCTCTCAGCCACTTATGCTCCCTTTACCATTACTGTATATATTCTAAAAACATTTAAGAAATTTTTACTTCACTATAGTCTAATTGTATATGATGCACCGTCAACACATCTAGAACCCTTGGGAGGCCTGTGTCTGTTTTGTAGCTGGGGAAATCTCACCCTTTCATTTCTCCATTAAGTGACAGTACTATTATGAAGTGGCAACACAGTACCCACATTTGTGCTTATGATGACACTGAACAACTTTTATGTTCACTATTGCATAGTTTCTATTCTTTCCTCACCACCATCAGCAAATCAAGGCATTCTAATGTCAGTCAAAAAGCATCATTTCATTTCCTCATTGTTTACTGTTTAGTTTTTTGTACTATGCGACTCTCTTAAATAGTAAAAAGTAGAGCTATCCCTGTAACAGGCCGTGGAGGCCCACAGGGTTGTGAGACGTTGAGGGTCTCAAATTATCTACACAATCGGCTCAAAGATGGTGGTAAGGTTGTCAGCCTTACATGCTGTCTGCACTTTTACTCCCCAGGAAAATTATTTAATTCATTCCTGGTACTCATTTCTGTTAGAGGCTGAGTCGACCCCAGGGCCATAGTGCAGCTGGAAGGATTAGGTCAATTGAAAAAAATCCAATGACCTCATCGGGATTTGAACCTGCGACCATCCGGTTTGTAGCATAGTCCCTCAACCAACTAGAAATTCATATCAAAATTAGCTCTTCTATTCATGATAGTAAAAGGATTAATGTACTGGACCATACTTGCACAATATGTGGTAAAGCCTCCATCAGATCTATGAGCTTGGTAAAACCATAATCTGCTACTCTGCACTGTCTTCCAAAATGGTGGTGATATGCAGGGATGAATCGGCTGAAGAGCAACTGGCAATGGGGGGAGGTTTTCAGTAGATCCACTAGCTCTCGACTGAACAGGGCCAACTGAGTGGCAAGAGGAGGACTGACACACTTCGCTGGGTCTGCAACACAAACAACAAATTCAAGTGACATAGTAATAAACCATACTCACTGGCCCGAACGGGGCACTTCGGCACTTAAAGGTTAATTAAAGTCAATTTATTTCAGTTATGAAATATCGAGTTCACATGCGATTTGTAGAGTTGATATACAGTGCAACAATTTCAGCAAGATAGAAGACACATGAGGATGGCCATATATATCTGAAACATGCAGTAAGGTAGAAGGGTGACTAGAAAATAAGTTGCATTTAAGATGGAAATATATGTGAAATACTGAGATAATGAAAAGGTTACGGTATTATCTCGTCATTCATAAAGGACAGAGAACATCCATGAAAAAATCCAGTTATTATAGCCAGGCTCCAAATCAGATTCAGACTTGCTACTACCTGAATGCAAGCCAAACATGTTATCATCATCCTAACCACAGTACACTATCATACACTTTCTTATATGCATAGAATATGGGAAATGTTAAAAATATCCATAACGTTGACCCATGCATTAAAAAATTAAATATCTGTAACTCACCCTCAATTTGCACATCTTCATTTCCTTTACTCTTGAGCCCACGCAGGTATTTGACACAGCCAACTCCCTGATAGATCTCTATGCCAGGTAAGCAACTCACAAGATGTTCCAAAGGAACACCTGTATCATCCACTGCGAGTGTTCCAAATTGTGCTTCATAACAATTTGGCAAACTGAAAATTAATTATGTCTCTATGAAGCAGAGTTCCTGAGCACCCAGTAGTCCATTAACTTTTCAATAAAATCCCTAAACTTTAAAGAATGCTAATAATAATTAACTATGCTCACAGAATCAAGCCATTGGTCCTTATTCTGAGTTAAATGAATCCAGTCCACACTTTTTCACCCATTTCCTTATGATCCATTGTAATATTATCCTGCCTTCTGCGCTAGGCTTAAAATTGATCTCTTTCCTTCAGATATTCTAACCAACAGTTCACGTGGATCTCTAATTTTGACATACATACTAAACGTCCTTCCCATCTCATCCTCCTAGAGTTTATCATTCCATCAATAACTGGTGAAGAGCATAAATTAATTACAACGTGAAATTCTTTTAGGGAATCCCATAAATCAATTTGCTACTTGAATTTATCTTCTTCTTAGATCTTCCGCATGGGAAGATTTAAATACCAGCCCTTAACACAGTGCAGGAGGAGCTTCCACTGACGATTTTAATCCAGACTTGCTAAATAAAACTGGTTCCAAAACTGTTATTTCCTCATTATAGCCTATATATGTAAGCAGAATTCATGTCATTCAAATACAGTGTACAGCAAAATATGCAGCACTGAAACTCGTGCATCTTGAATGCGCATGTGCGTTTGTCAATGGGGCATAGCTCCAACCACATGTGTTCCCAGTAGTGAAAAGGAAGTTGTGTTGTGCAGTTGTTGGAAATCGGTCTCTCGACAGAGGAAAAAGTATTCATAGTTGAGTAGTATTTCCACTCATATGGATGTGGTTGTGAAGGGGGACCGAGTTTGAAAAAGGTGACAGAAAATTCCAAGAGAGATTTAATAAGGCAGCACAACGTAATACAGTTATGAGGTCTATCGTGAAATTTCGCCATTATGGTAGTGTACTGTGTCAACGGAAGGGGAAGTTTGGTCAACCAGTAACTGTTTCAACTAAAGACAATCATGCACATGTTCTTCAGCAGGTACTGCATTCGCAATGCTCTTACCATCACCCAACAACACTACAGGGACATGGTGATTGGACCATTTCTTCAGGATTTGAGAAGGTTCTGTCATGCAAGGGGCCTTCACATGAATAGACAGTGGTATCAACAGGACGGGGCGACCAGCCATACCGTTCGTGAATCTCTAGCCATGCTGCAGGAAAACTTTCCAGGACAAATCATTTCACATGGTACTGACTTCCCATACTCGTCCCATTCCCCCGATCTTACATCACCTGATGCATACTTGTGGGAATGTTGAAGGAGAGTGTGTTCAACCGTGAAGATCTGCCAAGAACTATGCCTGCATTATGCAAGCAAATCGTCTCCTTTTGCAGGAGTCTGCAGTAACCTCTGTTCGGGGATATAACNTTCGTGAATCTCTAGCCATGCTGCAGGAAAACTTTCCAGGACAAATCATTTCACATGGTACTGACTTCCCATACTCGTCCCATTCCCCCGATCTTACATCACCTGATGCATACTTGTGGGAATGTTGAAGGAGAGTGTGTTCAACCGTGAAGATCTGCCAAGAACTATGCCTGCATTATGCAAGCAAATCGTCTCCTTTTGCAGGAGTCTGCAGTAACCTCTGTTCGGGGATATAACTGAGAATCTGCGTGAACGACATGAACACTGTCTACAGCGAGGCGGTGCACACTCTGAAAACTTACATTACACATACCATGGTAAATCAACACGCTAAAAGCGTGTATGTTAGTTTCTTTCAGGAGAAATAAACTCACAGATGACAACAAGGTAATATTGTTCGTCTTTTCATTTCAGTACTGTAAGTTTTGGCACATACTGTACTACTCAAGAGATGGAAACATAAAGCACAGTCAGCTGTGTGCAGTGCATGGTACTACACACTAGCACAAGGTACCTCAGCAGCATGAAACATTAATAAATGGTTATGTTTACTGCTTTTTCTTTGGGTGGAGTGAGACTGAGTCCACTTGGTATGTCAGCCACTATGTGACCTAATGTACCAGCCCCAGATGATAGATGGTGACTGTGGAGCAATTGGTGGAATGAGAACTGGCAAGAGAAAACAAAGTGCACATAGAAAACCTGCCCCAGTGCCACTATGTCCACTACAAAAATCCCATATAACCTGATCTGGGATCAAACCCAGAGCACCACAGTGGGAAACTGATGACTAGCTGCCTAACCTATGGCACGGCTAACAGCTATGTTACTGTAATACAAGGAGTTTGGATAGCTCAGTCAGCACAGCAACAGACTATGGGCTGAATGGCCAGGGTTTGATTTCTGGCAGGGGCAAGATTTACCTCTTCTCTACAGTGTGCAGACTGGCTTTGACACACAACCAGTCTCCTGTCTAAAGTATTGGGGACACTCTCCTCAGGGAAAAAGCAGCCAGAGCATGAAGCCAACCACCCACCTTCATCCAGTGACAAGGTCAAGAATGGTGGAGCTATACCCCATTCTCCCATATGTCTTCATGGAACAGCACTTAATTGAATAAGCACAGAGACAACTTTATCTTTTTACTCTAATACAAGAAACAATTTTTGTAACACTAATACAAACTGGTTTCCATACCTGGGCAGTGGAAGACTGCCATTATGTGTCTGAAGCAATATGTGAATATGTACAGCAAAAGCTTTGAGTCCAATCCGAACATTTGGCAATACTTCCATTTCCTGCTCAGCCCATCCTTTGTTTGGTCCTGGTTTACGGGAATGGTGAATGCAGTAAGGAAGTTCCAAGGACTGGCCATCCTGATACGAAACAATATATTTTATATCTGCACCGTGACCATGTCCTTAAATATTCTACCTCCATCACTACCTCATAGTATGCACACTGCTGTAGACATCTAGCAACACAGTTTGATGGGCAAATATGCTTCACTGAAATTTTAATATAAAATCGTTAAAACAAACTTCGTCAAAAATAGCTAACCTCTATGGAAACCAAGTTACATTCACATGAAAACACTGTCATGTGTGACTAGATACAGGATTTGTGTTGGTAACTGGAATTACTGGACTCTTTATAACTTGTAACTATAGGAAACCATAATAATTTTCTGGATCTACAAATTATACAACACACACAGCCTTCTATGTCTTCACCAGCCACTGCCTGGTAATGGCTCAACAGTGGATACTCCTCTGGTTCCATACTCATGTCCTCGCTGGATGACAGCCAGCTTGCAACTAACTCATGACAGCAACTAAATCTTAAATAACTAACAGTCAGATTAAGAGTTTAATTTATGACTGCCTGTTTACTGCCAGGCAGGTCATCTTGGCACCAAGCCTCTTGTGACTCATGACCAGAGTTTTTTATTTTTGCGACAACCATTATGGTCTTAGTCCTTCTATAACATCCTCTCTGGCAAGAGGCTGGATTTCTCTCTTATGAATATACATACACACATACATACTAATTCATAAATTCACTGATATGTTGTCCGAATTGGACCAGATATTGAACTTGTCAAAATAAGACTTGATTGCTTGGCCTCTGTCAAGTGTATATATTGCACATACAGCATGATATTGAAAATTCTTCATTTTACTATACATATAAGTCCTCTATCAGTCCAGACTTTGCAAAGCAGATCATGCATATCTTTTTCATCTATGCTACAATGGCAGCTTATTCACTTGAATAGTCACAAGCATGACCACCACAAAGTTTAAACCTTTTACATTTTCTGCCCCTGGCCTCACCTTGCCCTGTGCTACAAACACGGTCATTCTCATGATTTTGTATGATCTCTGCTTGTTGTCTGTGCAGCTTTGTTATATAATCATACACATTTGGAAGGCTTAAAACTGTGTGCAAATCATGGACTGGTGTGCACCTTGAAAAATCTCCAAACTAACTATTAACAAGTCATGGTCAAAGTCAAAGTTATGTTATGGCTAATGGTCAGTCAGTCAGCCTGTCAAGCACCCATCTGGCTGGTGTCCTCGTTTATATAGCCTCAGCATGGATCACATAGAAACACTGTCCCCAGCAATACCTTTTATTGTTTTCCAAGCATCTGTTGCCATGGATACATGTTTACTGAGTTGTTAACAAGCAATGGCTGTCTTCACCAGTTACGTCACAATACTAAACTCCCACATAATGTGGAAATATCAGAGTAGGAAAAGTAGGATGAGAAACTAAATCTGACTAATAATATGCATTAAACGGTGCTGCTGTCCAGAGGATATTTTTGCAGCAGTACGGATTCAAGTATAAGCTTCTGCTACTGCCACCTCCTGAACATATTTGTAACTACTTGATAGCATATATAACAACAGAATAATGACAGAAAGCATATATAACAACAGAATAATGACAGAAAGCATATATAACAACAGAATAATGACGGAAGTACAAGCCTTAGCCTTTTACACATAAGGATAAGGAAAAACTCTGTTAGGTGGTGATGAACAGCCAATAATAACAAAACAATTAACTGAAATTTCATTACATGAGACATAGCACTGAATAGTGCAGAAAGTCACTGCTTTTGATCATTAGTCAAGAGTCGGGGAACAAATTTCACAGCAATGCAGAGCATGTTCAAATTCTCTGTTAAGATCTCCTGGCAAACTCCATAACTGACCCCAATGGTGCCTGGGAGTTCATGGACTGTTCGGCGTTGGTCTTCATGGATGAGTTCTCAAATTTTTACATTTTCTGTCAATTTGCTGGTGATTGGTTGTCCTGAACATTCGTCATCTTTAACTGATACTTAACCGGCCCTGAAAGGTGAATGCCATTCAAAAACTGCTGTCTGGCATCTGTCTCACAAAGCATTTCAAGAGTTTTGGCAGTGGATTTACCGAGCTTCATGCAAAAATGATGCAGACACATTGCTCGAATTTGCATTCCATCGCAGACAAAACAAAACACGAAGTTGAAAAAGCATTCATGTAAAACAATGCATGTTCACAGCACGGTGTCACGTGGCACACTGATGCAATAGGCTTCAGGAAGTGTGATCTTGGCCTCCCCTCCCATCTTCTTTCAGCGAGGTAGTTACAACAGTAACAGTCCAGGAACTTTCCAATAGCATGCCATATACTGAAAATTTTAATTCCCATTACCCTTACCATCATCACATTTATTGTGCATATAAAGAGTCTACATGGTCAAAAGTTTGAGTGTGGGCACTTCTTTTCTAAACAAGGGAGCTCTATATTGTTACAGCTTGATGTGATAGAGACTGAATCTGTGAATGCCAAGATCATGTACTTCCGGGGATGGGAGTTACATCCCCTTAAAAGCAGGTTCCTTCAGCAGGCGTATATTTATTCCACCATTTCTGGTGATCAAGGAGGACTCTCCCAACTCCATTTCTGGAACTGTCAGCAACTGTTCCAATTCACTGTGTTCAATTGCTGACATCATCACTCCTTTATCTCTCACAGTCTGCATCTGCTGAGTACAGATGTTGTCTCATCTGAAGAAAGCAGCATTTAGTTCAAACTGTCACACAAGCAGGACTGAATGGGTACACTGTCACGTTCAAATTATCTTACACTGGAATTCCAATTTTGCAGCTGTTCATGACATTGCATTACAGAGGCATATTTATGTTTCTTAACATAAATGCTTGTTAATAGTCTGACCTTGTGAGAATACTCACTGTGCACACCATTTATGTAATCAAGAAAACAATTAGCATCACTTTGGATTTGCTGCACCATCTAAATGCTATTTTCAGTCATACACAAAAAGGGGATTACTTTCAAAGTCATAACCAAAGGCTCATATTATTATCTGTTATTATACAGGGTGTCCCAGGAGGAATGTGCCAAACTTCGGGAGGGTGTTCCCTATAAAAAAGTATGCCGATATAACCCAAAACACCTATGTCCAAAGTTGAACGGTTACGGAGATAATGGCCCGAGAAAAGTGTGGTCTTCTAGCGGGTCCACGGATTATACCTATCAGCTGAGAGGAATTATCTCTGTTTGTCCTTGACTGCCGTGATTCATCCTATCCGTGCTTATGGAGTTNTGCTGACATGTGCCATAATAAATACCTATATCTTCACTCATTTCTTAGGCTGTCTTCCTCACTTTAAACTAAATCACACCTGTGAGTTATTAATTCACCCTTTATACTGGTTGAATCTCATCCAGTATACTCAGCATTTTCCTTTTGTAAAACAACAGAACCACTAAAGAACTCATGCTCAGCTCATTATTGCACTTTAAAAGCTGCCTACACATCAGGTGCCTAGTCTAAATTGCCATTATTCTGATCTTCTTTCAAAATTTCATGCACTTTCATTGTCCCATACTAGTAAACACCATTAAATCAACATATCACAAGAATGTCTAACTACTACCAGATATGACGCTGATGCAATAAAATAAACTGTAGGCTTTTTACCTAAGGACAGAGACAGAGTCCAGTCTCCACAACATAATTTAAAATTAAATTAGAACAATGGATGACTAAAATATGAATCACTGTAATGAATTATAAATAAATATGAGCATGCAGAATTATGTCAAGGCATGACAGCAGCTTCTTTGTGTAATGGGAATTATATGAGATATGAATTCAGTGTTGATACTTTCAGATCAGACTATGTACACTACATATGACGAATGTTCACATGTTACTTTCAGTATGAGAGCAATACCATACCATACAACATTTAATAACATAAAGCAGTTAATAAATAACTCCAAATTCATCTCAAATTATTCTCAGACAAGGGGACATCCTGCTCACCTGTGTTGTCGAGGGGAAGATTGGTGACGGGGTATTACGGTGGTCTGGATTCAGAGTCACCATCCGTCCTGATAAATCCTCTGATATCAGACACACATCCTTCATTTTGTACATATCTGACATGCTTATGGATGTGAGATAGCGGCTCTCAAACAACTCACGGAACTTGAATAAAGGCAGGCAATGTCCTGGCACTTCTAAGAGCAAGGAAATAATCTGCGACCTGGCAAGAAAAAGCATACAGAAAATGTTTTCACTTACAGGCAACAAGAGCTTTTGGAGATCAAAAAATTTTATCTTTTGCCACAAGCTGCAACAATTTAGTGACCAGAGAGAGCATTTGGATAGATAATTGGATTTACTGAATTCTTACAAATGGCAAATATAGGTAATTATAACCATTTCATGAATGTACATATCACTGTACTGCAGCACACATCAAGTCTTCTCTGTCTTCACAAGTAGTTGTCTGGTAATGGCTCCTAACAATGTCCTCTGCTTCCGTTGTTCCAGGCTGATGACTGTCTTGCACCTAAACCACAGCACCAAATGTCCTCATATTCTCAACTGAATAAGTTGTCTAATTTGGGGTGGACCCAATAGAAAACACCATTTTTATCATTTCTCTACCGTGGCATCACATGTTCTTTGCCATGGAAATGTGTTTAGTGACTATTCCATAGCAATGGCTATCACTTCTGGCTCCACTATTCCGGTCTTTCAGCTGCCATGTCGCAATATGCTTTCTGACACTCTGTACATCAAGTGCAAGTGTTAGAAATTTAAAATCCTGGGCAGGACAAGCTAAACAGGAATTGTATCACCACAACATGGAGAAAAAATATTAAATGTATATAAATATTCATTGAACCTCAGGAGAAGACACCCAGGGATGAATGGGATAACTATATTAACACAGGTCCTAGAAAAACATGTTCTGAAGATGTGATCTAAGACTGATATTGGTCAGGATAAGGTACCATGGTGAGATCAATGAAAGTTTGAGTTCCACAACGAGAAAATTTTTTGTCTAGCTAAATAATGAGAAACTGTCCAAACAAGATCCTTTACCATAGAACCGATTACATAATTAAACATGTGCATACCTTATCAATTGTGGACTGGGACCACCACTATTGGCATATGATATGAGGATTCGTTTGTATCCAACTTTCCGTCGGTGCAGCTGCGATATTGCATATTGAGCATCTTGCAATGAAGGCACTTTCACATGAGCTGCGTAGTTGCCATCTGACTGCACAAACACAGATACATGAAGAACCTATAATCAGAAAAACCTGTTATCAAGTGGAAGTACACAATTTATTACAAGAATACAGGTATGATTACTATGAATTGGGTTCTCAATAAATATGTACAACTGGGGAAAGAATATTACCAGTGGAAGCAGACATAAGATTTAATTATTGAAGTTGATGTTAATATCTAATATTTCAACCATTATCCATATTTACTCTTAAAATGCCTCATTTTGGAAACTGATTATGTTTCTGTCCCAGGCAAGAAAGAACCAGTATTAATCACTGGTCCTACAACATGCTATGAACCTTGTATTGCAAGTAAGAACAAAACCACCTACAGCTTATCCTTTAGAATCATGAAGTATAGCATTCCAGTGTCAAAGGCTCTTAATACCTGCTAATATTACAGATACAGAAGTCATATTTTTTGAGTAGGGGTGTTATGGTCAATATATGGACTTGGAAATTAATGAATATGGCTAGTCTTATAGAAAGCACTATGAAGATGTTCTGTCAAATTTAATTAACAATAATAAATATTATAAAAGATAACAGGCTGGGATGAGCCAAGCATATTAGAATTAACCAATGCTGAACCTAATAAAAATATTCAAATTTAACTCTTCATTGTCATCGAATATAATACCGAAACTGTGGGCTTCACCCAGATACATCAGTTGGTTGTAACGTATCACACCTCATGAAATGGAATTAACATATAATAGAGATCACCCAAATTTCATTATTTTATAAGCACTTTGATGTCCCATAGCTGTCTGTGTGTATGAGCAAAATATCTGGTAAAGATAGGAAAACATTTCTACTATTTGGTGTGTGGAAATGAGGCAAGGTGTGGGTGAGGGGCTGGACAGAAGTCTCCATCCAGCCTTCTCTTTACAGTTCAATTTACTGTAATTTTTCACTAGTAGAAATTATTCCTCCCATGCAATATGCAAACATAAAGATGCATGTTATGAGAAAGAAAACCTGAATGAAAAGGATTAAATATTACAATACTTCTGAAAATTTCTATAAATTTTGTCTCACATATTTAACAAACCAGTTACTATTTAAAAACTCCTTCGGTATTTACACAAATAAAAAATGTCTAATATATTTGTAAGAGTCCAACAGTAAGTTTGATAAGAATTTGTTCACAAAGTACATAACCCATATGATACATTTTCACTTGCATAAACAATCTTGGTCTAAAAGTCTATATGTGTATCACATTCAGTTTGATGACACTTCTAGCACCTTCATTAAAGATAAATGCCAGTAGTCAGAGAACTTTATCTGAAAAAAGGTGGAACTGAAACAATAGAACTAACATTTTCTCAAGCTGGTGACACTCACCCTGCATGTGCAAGAAAATTATCTTTGTGTGTGTGTGTGTGTGTGTGTGGGGGGGGGGCTATAGTAGTTGAGATGGTAAAGTACAATATTCAGCCTAAATTATTTCCTTCTGTCATAACCAATATAATGACCATTTATTTTACAAATGTCTGGCATATAAAACAAGAAAGAAAAGCAAACAATGCCAGATGTATGGTGACATGTTATAAATCCAACATCTGTGGTTAAGCATACAACCTCCAACTAACAACTTCACAAAGACTGGAGCATTAAAAAATGTTGCTAAAAGACATTCTCAAAATGGTCAGTCACTTGTGCAAGTCAGCAACAGTCTGTAAGAACAAACGCTGTGAGGCAAGTTTTATAGTTTTCTGAAAGAAGTGTTGTAATACCTAACACATCAAAAATGTAACCGTGTGTGTATGGCCAAAGTTGGAGTGCTATTAACATAAATAATCAACAAAACACTTCAGCAATGAGAATGATGAAGGATGAACCATAGCAAACAACAGCCTGCTCACAAGTTCATACACCAAATAAAAAATTGTACACTGGTGAATATTTTACGCTGCAGGTTACTAATAATCATCCAGGCCATGAAAAAGAATTGAGAATAGTAAATATAATAATTTGTGATATACTGCCCACCAACCCATACAAAACAGAATAGATGCCAGGAGGAAAAGGCATTGCATTTATAAGACTTCAAGACAACCTCTGACATACCATGACCCCTTCACTAGTGACAAGTTTAAAGAGAAAATAAATTCATTATTTTACAAATAGATACAATTTCCCTTCACAAACTTACTTCCAACTAATTGACAACTGTTGTTTGCGCTTCTTTCACCTCAAAAACTGGCCTCAGAAGCTGTCAGGTAATAAAAGGTAAAAACATGAATAAATTCAATGTTAATAGCAGAAATATTTCTTTCACATGATGCATTCCAAAAATAGAACTGTGTGTGCTATTTGGTGATATGTGAATATCCAAAACAAAAAAACAAACTCCGTGGCTTGTAATCCGCAAGCGAACTATACTGACTGAGCAACCACCGCTTATCAGCGAAGTTAGTTCCAACTTTTGCAGATAGAAGGCGTCGCGTGGTCACCGCAACGAATCCCCACGGCTGTTAATCTTGGTTTTCTAGACCAGAGCCGCTATTTCCTTGAAATAGCTGCTCAGTTATCCTCATGAGGCTGAGTGGACCCTGTTCCAGACCCACTACTTCTCAGAAAATCTGGTAGCACCAGGAATCGAATCTGAACCTCTGGATCTGTAGCCAGAAACTTTGACCACTAGACCAGAGAGGCGGATATCCAAACACTTGAAAAATGACAGGTGAAATTTCACTCTGAAATGCTTCTGGAAAATCTGAGGCACAGTAATGAAGTACAAGCTTACTAAATTACGAAAATATTAACTGTTTCAACTAACCATAACATGTTCTCTGAACACAGAGAGGATCATTCTTTTCAGTTCCTTGGCATCAATGTTTTGGTCGAGGTTTGTAATTTGAAGTACTATTGGATTACTACAGGGTACACTGCTTGACAACGAACCATTTGTTCCCAGCTTCGACGATGATATAGGATGGAAGTAATGCTGTGAAGAAGCAAGAAACGTACATTTTTCAGTTCCACATGCTACCATATTTACTAGCACAACATACACATCCAAATAATTTATGCATCACTACTTTCAGAGAAGAAACTTCAAGGGAAAATGAATACTGTATTACTCCTCAAAATGTTTTGACCACTGCATAATTTTTGTTTTTTCGTTTTTTCTTCTTGGGGGGGGGGACAATTAATGTTAAATGCACATGGAAACAGTATGGGAACTTTCATTGCATTATCAATTAAAATTATGTGTAGGTCAATATATTATCAAGGAAAATTTTAATTTCAGTTAGTTAACAAAACATGACTGCAAGTAGAAATATCCATATGAAGTTGCCACACTTCATTCAAATTTAATCACACTTTCCATGAAAATAGTATACTGCCCAAAATTTTATCAAGGGGAATCTCTGTCTCGATTCTTATCAAGAAATCAAGCTGTGAATGGTGCCACATCACATCCAACTTTCATCAGTTTCCTATGAAAATTTTGCATCAGTTGAAATTTTATGAAGGGGCATTTTTATCTCAAGTGTTCATCAAGGAATCATAAAGTGGGCTCCACAGGCATGAACAGCTACACTGCATTGCCACAATGTATTTAACTGCAGTCACTTCAATCTTACATGTAAAGTTATATTCAAAATGTTACTCTGTTTCTATTTTAACAGACAATTTGTATGGTTGTGAAATACAGTCCCTCTCTTTTAGTGAAGTATGTGCATGAATTAAAACTAGAGAAATGAGGTGCTCCAAGAAAGTAGGTATTTATATTTAAGAGGGATGAATTGAAAACACAAGGTCATGAGGAACTCTGTGACATATACACGTCACCTTAACAGTACAAGGTTGTGAAACTGGGGTTATGATGAGCTAGGCATGTACTTCATATCAGGGTGACCAGACATTCAGACAAATGTTTCATGGGAAAGAAGACAGAAGGAATGGAAAAATAACAACACAAATAAAGGCAATATGTAGACAAATCACATGGAAACAGGTTGAGGGATGAGCGGTGTACAGAAGTGACTCAGGATCATGTTTGATAGCAGGTTTTGGGGTTGTGTGTGTTGAACATTCAGTTAATACTACACTTTATTTAATGCAGTATAACTATTTACAATAACATTTAAGCTCACATGGCCGAAAGTTCACAGACATTTCGACTGTACATATTGTATGTATGGAGACTTTTTGAGATACAGCTATTCTTTTCCTAGGAATAAACTTCAAATGCAGTTTGAAAAGGTATGGTGCCAACATACTTCCAGCTCCTCACGTTCAGTATCACTGCAGGTTATATTGTGTGTTGGTACAACTACCGGCCATCCCCTTTGTGCAATTCCTTCTATATCCTGTCCAGACACTGTATATGGAGACGGGGTTCTGCAATTTCTTCCTGTAGCACCGTTATTTCGGATGGTCGCCTGAAAGAAAACAAGTGTCTAGTGTTTGAAACACTTATGAAAGTTCTACTTAACAGTACTGACAAGCTAGAAAGCTGTCTACTATTTTAGCTATATTATAGACAGGTTGCATAACATGTAATCAATGTAGAATTGGTTCATCATGCTTCTGTTACAGATACACTGACACTTTGACTTTGCCTTCTTTGGATGTATACCCAGCAATTTTATAGAATTCCTTTTTACTGCCTAATAGCCAACAAAAATAACATAAAATTTTAACAGATATTACATTTTCCCCATCTTACAAGTTTTACATAGTTACACAAATGTGATACCTTACATGCAAAAAGGCTATGAATTTCGTGGTATTATATAAAAAGTATATAACAAGTTTTAGAAAAGAACATAAAACTTTACATTTATCTTCCTAATAACTAACATATGGTTTCTAGCGCAAAACACGCAGTTCTGAAGAAATACGAAACCACTACTCCAGTAACTACTGGTAATACACTGAGCCACTGAATTCATTTCGTGTTCCAACATATAAGTTTCTAGATTTCCAAAACAGTTTATTTCATTTTCAGGGGTTTATGTGGGATATAATTCACCACACAGTAGTTAGTTAGTTAGTTATTGGAGACGGTGGGTTTCCCAATGTACTGAGACCAGTATTGGTCCATTGTGCTTCCCTCTATGATATTCTACCCGTCTCTATACCATACTGGTACTGGTGCTTACCATCAGTCCCGACCGAGCCAGCGAGTTCGCCTCTACTGGCTCACCGGTATCTCGATGCTTCCTCCATCTACCAGAGGCATTAGAGACTACTGTTGGGCGGGAAATGTCCTGAATCTGGCTCAGTGGTACCTTTGGGACATGAGGTTCTTTTATGTGCCGTAAAGCTACGACACGGGACCCACGGCTTAAAGTCCCTCCCGGAGGACTTGTTCCCTGAATTTTTCCGCCCTTAAAAATTCCACGACCTCCGCAGGGTTTGAACCCGCGTACCTTGAGTCACGAGGTGGGAACGTTACCCCTAGACTACGGAGGCCGCTCACCACACAGTAGGTCTACCATTTAACTTTTATTGTCCTCAAAGGGACCTTTGAAATGTCCCATGATGCATATCTGCACTGGTATGGCACTGATAAATAGTGATTCATGCTTCATATCAGTCAGCACATGTGTGTCACTATTTATGAAGGATTACAATACCTAATTATTACATCAAAATACAGAAATAGTTGAAGAAAGCAGTCTTCTGGGATTTGGCACCGTGTATATGTGGTGTTAACCCCACATATACACGGTGCCAAATCCCAGAAGACTGCTTTCTTCAACTATTTCTGTATTTTGATGTAATAATTAGGTATTGTAATCCTTCATNTAGTCACAATGAAATTATTGATTTCATTAATAAAACTTCAAGAACATGGTTCCAAACAAAATCTATAACTTCTGGGGTGCTGAGGAAACTAGTGGATAGCACTTTCTTTGGCTATTTTCACAGTATACTTTGCAGCAGCGTTTCCACGGAATTTCAATGTTTTCACTTTGTTTTGTTCCTTTCCAGCAAATGATTTGTTGCCTCAGTTGACTTGGGTTTCCTTAACGATGTCATGTAAAAGAAAACAAGTGCTCAAAGTCTGTTAAACATGTTAATAAATTTACATAAAATATATACAGAGTCTCTGTCAGTCCAGGCTCAGTACAGCAGATTATGCCCTATTTCTAGTAGCTTCCGCTACAATGGCATTCTAGTCACTTGAACGGTCATATGCTTGACCACCGACAAGTTTAAGCCTCTTATACTTCCTATGTCAGGCTTCGCCTTGTCCAATATTGTGAACATTTCTGTTATCATGATTTTGTATGACTTCTGTTTGTTGTCTGCATAATTTTGTTATACAATCATATATGTACAGAATTTTGAAAGCCATGTTTAAATCACAAACCACTGCATGCTTGTGAAAATTGCCAATGTTGCGGAAACCCCTAGTTCTGTATGCACTGCAATTTCATTAGACGGGTATACGCCGCGAATTCCCAGGTGGGACTAGCATAAGTCATTACAGATCTAATGAGAACTGTCAGTCAAAGTTGCTCTGGTTTCCCTTCAGTATGTATAAATCTTTCGCCTTTTACTAAAGAACTGTCAGTTCAGAGTCAGAGTTACTTTACAACTGACAGTTTACCGCCAATCAGTTCGTCTTGGCATCAGGCCCCTTGAGGCCCATGGCGAGATTTCTTATTTCCAACTGAACTCTTGTGGTAATAGTCCTTATGTAACATCCTCTCTGATGAGAAGATGGGTTCGTCTCTTGATGAAAGGTCAAGTGTATATTTCGCACATATAACATATTGTCGAAAATTCTTCCTTTTACACTACACACAAGTCCTCTGTCAGTAAAGGCTTTACAGAGCAGATCATGCCTAACTTACATGAACTCAGTCAAAGTCAAAGTCATATTGCAACTGATGGTCAGTCAGTCAGTCAGTCAGTCAGTAAGTCTTGGTGTCAAGACCCATCCGGGACTCATGATCGGATATCTATTACGCTTTGACAGTTACTGTCTTGATTTTGTGGGGCGCCCTCTTTGACAAGAGGACGGATTTGTCTTTTCTATATGCTGCTGGCCCTTGCCAGCAGTCTTCCTCGGGTCCAAGTCTCCTGGGACTTGTGACCATAGTTTACTGTCTCAGATCTGAGCCTTCCATTTTTGTCACCTCCTACTACTCACAGAGTCACGGTGGAGGTATTCGATCCCGCCTCCACACTGGTGTTACTCTCAATGTCTGAACTGTCAGTTTTCAAAGAACACGGCGGCTGTAGACATTATACTGTTGAAATTAAGGGTCACATGGTCCACCAGCCTCATACATTGCAATGTTGTGCTGTAACATGCAGTCCAAGGTCCAAGTCCAAGTCACATTGCAACTGACGGTCGGTCAGTCAGCCAGTAAGTCAGTAAGTTTTGGTGTCAAGCCCCATCTGGGGATCATGTCCAGATATTTATTACCTTTAACAGTNCGTCTCTTGATGAAAGGTCAAGTGTATATTTCGCACATATAACATATTGTCGAAAATTCTTCCTTTTACACTACACACAAGTCCTCTGTCAGTAAAGGCTTTACAGAGCAGATCATGCCTAACTTACATGAACTCAGTCAAAGTCAAAGTCATATTGCAACTGATGGTCGGTCAGTCAGTCAGTCAGTCAGTCAGTCTTGGTGTCAAGACCCATCCGGGGCTCATGATCGGATATCTATTACGCTTTGACAGTTACTGTCTTGATTTTGAGGGGTGCCCTCTTTGACAAGAGGACGGATTTGTCTTTTCTATATGCTGCTGGCCCTTGCCAGCAGTCTTCCTCGGGTCCAAGTCTCCTGGGACTTGTGACCATAGTTTACTGTCTCAGATCTGAGCCTTCCATTTTTGTCACCTCCTACTACTCACAGAGTCACGGTGGAGGTATTCGACCCCGCCTCCACACTGGTGTTACTCTCAATGTCTGAACTGTCAGTTTTCAAAGAACACGGCGGCTGTAGACATTATACTGTTGAAATTAAGGGTCACATGGTCCACCAGCCTCATACATTGCAATGTTGTGCTGTAACATGCAGTCCAAGGTCCAAGTCCAAGTCACATTGCAACTGACGGTCGGTCAGTCAGTCAGTCAGTCAGTCAGTCAGTAAGTCAGTAAGTTTTGGTGTCGAGCCCCATCTGGGGATCATGTCCAGATATTTATTACCTTTAACAGTTACGGTCTTGTTTTTGTGGGGCGCCCTCTCTGACAGGTCTGCCTTTTGTATGTGCTGCTGGCCCTTGCCAGTGCAGTCTTTCTAGGGTCTGAGTCCCTTGGGACTCCAGACCATACTTTACTGTCTCAGATTTGAGACTTCCCTTTTCATCACCTCTTATGACTCACAGGGTCACAGTGGAGGTATTTGACCCCGCCTCCACACAGGATTTGTAACAAGCAGTTATTGTTGGCTTCTCGTTATATAGCCTTGAGTCTGACCTCAGAGAAAACATGTCCCTTGCCTAGCAATGAATGTCCTCTATTGTTGCATATTCATTGGAACATGTTTACCTAGCAATGGACTGTTTACCAAGAATTTGTCTCCGTGGGAAGGTATTTATCCAGCTGTTGCCTAGCAGTGGGTCTGTATATCACATTAACATAATATGAGATGTGTTTAATAACATATTCATGTTATGTTTCTTAAAATGATATGCACAAATTTTTTCTGTATTTAAAGGAAATTCCCACTTCACAGTACTTCTGACTATAAATTTTTCACTGCAGTGAAACAGAATCTTTCCATATTTTCAAGCCTTCTTTAGCATTTTATTCTAAGAAGCTGATTTTTTCTTTGTGAAAATAATATCAGAGATCAGCATGCATCACACCAATAAGTAACTACCTTAAGGGCAGTTCAATTGTGTTAATTAACAACCTGAACATAACAAGAACTTGCATTACATGTCAAGAAGTGGGAAGGCTGTTAATAGGGTTCCCTGCATTTTGAGCTGGCTAGGCATGCCAGCCTTGCACAGAGCAGGGAAGGAACTAACACAACTGTGAGCATATGACTCCATTTAAATATGATGTAGGGTCTACTGAACATTTAAGAGAAGAGGCATCAGAAATGTAATTACATTACAAATAATTTTGGATGGAAATGATATCAAGTTGCTGGAACACAAAAAACCTACANGGGGGGGGAAGAAAAATTTACAATGATATTTTTCCTTGCTTCTTTCATTAACTGCATAGCATAACCAATGAGATAAGATGAATGAACCAGAAGCCATCCTCAGATAATGCTACTAACCTGATGTCGACTATAGGGTCCAACACTGGATGAGAAAATTGTGTTGAAGTTTGAAATAGGTTGGTGGGAAGATACTGTTGTATGCTGTTCCTGGTACTGCTGGATACAGGAGTTCTCATCACTGACACACACTGAAACCATATTTCGTGTGTCTTATTACCAACCTCTAAATTATCTTAGCAAGTAAACAGTTCCCTGTTACATTTCAATCAGCGTTTCTTTTAGTTTCCTTTTCTGTGTAAAAGGGCCATGGTCACATGCCATGAGCTTACACTTCATAATTTAATGATGGTACTGCAGTGAATTAAAACTCCACACAGCCTACAGATGGAGACTGATGATAAGCAATAATGATGATTCAAGTAACATTTGCCACAAAAACCAAATGTCTCTGTAATCATCACTTTATGATGGCAGGAAAGGAAACTAATTACACTGAAGAGGGTCCTTTTGAGAAGGCAATATGCGCTCTGACAGTCAATGAATTTCCAGCCTTTTAACCTTACTGGTGTAACAGTCAAATGAAGTTGAATCAGCAACCATTACCATAGAAACATAACATTCAATTTAGTCCATATGTATAAAGAATCTTCTTCTGCCACACCAATTTCATTCACGTGAAATTTCTGTTGTAGTTTTTCCATATTTTTACTTTAAAATATCATTAATTTAGGAAACTGAAGATGCAGTGAAAGGGATTCAAAATAAAAGTTCACCTTCGTGTTCACAGATGCAAACAGGATAACAAATACACTATGCAAAATCACTCTGTAGCAAAATTTAAGGGATTCAGCATTTTTGAATCTGTTATTTAACAATTCCCATGGCATACATGATACACTGCACACTTAAGGTTTTCTTCTGCATAACATTTCAAACACATTCCATGAGCACCTTCCTGTCCCTCCATGTCATATAAAATATATTCCACCTTCATTCATGTTGCCGTGATTTTATTAGTACATGAATTATCCTAGATGGCAAGAACAACAACCTCCAAAATTTAAATTTTTGTCTAAATAGAATGAAGAGAACTTGGAAACTCCAGAAAATTTTGTGACATTGGAAGAGTTACACTTGGTAGGTCGTGCCATTAGAACACTGAGGGAAGACTGTGGACATATAACTCCTGAACATTCCATCCACTTCAAATCAGATGGTATGCCCATTACACGTCTATTTTCTGCTTTATAGTGTCTGGCAAGGTAACCTGACGTTTTTAAGTTGGCACTAGTTTGGGGGTTGGTGGTGTGGGAAGAGAGGGCTCACTGAACTTCAACAGCTCAAAGTACGCCATTTCAGTTGACATGGAACAGTGAACCGCGGAACATCGTGCTTTTGTCGAGACGTTTTTTAAAACTAATGACTCTGTTACCCTGACTAAGTGACATTTCTGTGTGCACTTTAATGTAGGTCGTCATGGTAAAGCTCTCAGTAGGAACACAATTTTGTTGTGGACTGCAAATTTCAAATCAACTGGCTCAGCCCTAAAGAAATGTCTGAACAGCTCAGAATGTTGAGACTGTTAGGTGGGCAGTAGTGACTAGTCCCCGTCACTCTGCAACGAAGCATGCCATTGCATTAGGCACTTCAGACTGGAGTGTGAGACGAATATTGCACCTAAATCTGCATTTTTATCCATACAAGATGATGGTTGTGCAAGAGGTGAATCACTGCAATTGGGCAAACTGTGTTGCTTTTGCACAAAACATGGTTGAAATTGTGGCAGATTATGTAGCCATTGCCATGCATGACGAGGCACACTTTCACTTATATGGGTGCGTTAACAAACAGAACTTCTGTTATTGGTCAGATGCAAATCCATGGCAGCTTCATGAATGCCCTCTTCAATCTGAACGTGTGACACGTTTGGTGCTGTGTGGGAAGTTTTGGTGTGATAGGCCCCTATTTCTTTGAGGACACATATGCTGTGACATTAAACTATGGTCACTGTGTTCAGATGCTGCATAATTTCCTTGCACTATAAATTAGCAGATGTGGAATTAATCAACAAACCACGTGGTTTCAACAAGATGGGGGTCACTGCTCATACTGCGAGAGCTTCCATGGCAGTTATGCGAATAAGGTTTCCTGAGTATGTCGTGATCTTCCATGATCTGCTGTCACCTGACTTGAGTGTACACGATTATTTCCTTTGGGGTTACCTCAAAGTGAAGGTATTGACCAAACGACCATGTACAGTTCATGAACTGAAAGATGCAATTGAACATGAAATTGCGGCAATAACCCCCCCCCCNGATAAGTTAAGATGCTCAATGACCAACTTCCAGCCAAAGCTGCAAGAACGCGTATGAAGAGATGGTAAGCATGTAGATGGCATAATTTTCAAGACAAAATGAGCTGGCTGTTAAACTGGCATACACTGTTATATATTATGACATAAAATAAGTAAAATAAATAAAAATCAGCTCCATTATACTAATTTAGAATCCATCAGGTTTCCCTGCTGGACCCTGTACATTACGAATATCACAAACTGCTACATAAAAACTGGTAAAATTTGTCTTGGTTGAAATTTGTTGCACAAAAATTTGCTTGTGTTTCTCTCCTATCCATTTATCACACTATTTGGCTGGTTACTACTTCCAATAGGAAATAACCAATTCTGTTCTACTTTTAAGGAAAGCTACATGGCCCTCTACCCACCTATAAATTACACATCTTCATCATCTGAAAATACAGAACTTTAAGGGTGAGGGCACATCAAGAAAACTGGCAACTGCAATGCAATCGCAATTTCTGAGAACTGTTATCCACGTGATTGCAACGCAACTTATGTAAGACTAAGAAAATCAACTCCCATGCAACTGTGCAAGCCAGTCTTCTCACAGTTGTGTTGCAGAGTAGTTTCCTAGTTTCAGCTGTTCTAACATGTTTCTGTGATTCATTTACTTCTGCAGACAGCACAAAAGGTTGATAAAGTTGACAATTTCGTTTTTGTGCAGTTAATTGAACAAGAGCATAGTATATATGACAAATGCCACCCAGATTTCCCCATGCAGGACAAAACAGATTTGGCCTGGGAAATAATTTCTCATGAGATGAAGGAGCCTGGATAGGTTCGTTCAAATCAATATAAGCACCTGATCTTAAATTGTCACAGATGAACGAGTGGACTTAATGTTTTATTTTCCCTTGTCCTCTCTTCCCATGCTGTCTCAACCACCATCCTATTATGACATGAGTAGTCTTATTATCTGACACTGCAGAAAAGAAGTGCACCAAATTAAAAAATCCTATCATGTATTATGTTGCATAAACACACTCACTTGAGATAATGTGAGCAACTAATCAAACACACAGTTCCTCAGTGTGCACCTGCTAATCTGGAAACCAGTTAGATGCTTGAAATTGATGTTACTTGGAAGTTCGGGCTGCGTTGCAGTTGCCAGTTTCTTTTGTGTGCCCTCGCCCTAAATCTATGTATACAATGGGGCCAGCAAGTGGATTTTAACTCAGGGGAAATGGTATTATTATTTACAAAAAGGCAATGCTCAGCTTGCCAGATTGTGCACGTGTGCCATTACAGAAATCAATTTGTGGCCAACAAAGGTTAAAGCATAAGTCTACCTGGAATAAGTCAACAATTCACTGCTACTTTCTTTTATAGAGAAAGTCGCTAACCTCTGTGAGTACCCTTGATCCTTCGATAACCTTCTGGAGTCTTTTCTGTATTCCCATTGGCTGTTATGATTCGTGTCTTTGCTTCATGTTTTATTGTCCCCGTCAACATCTTCAGCTCTTCTGTGGCAGACTCCTTTACTCTGCGCCATGCACCTGCTGAACAACAAGAGCACAAGACTGAACTCACTATAATCCTATGGACTTCAGATATTTATTGCATTCTGTAAACATTCAGCAAGTCTTCTATCCATTTACAGAAGTAATTTAGTATGTACGATATTTGTGGGAGGGTAAAATTGCAAATTAACGCACTGCATATATGCACCAGAATTCAGTAAACTGAAATATCCCCTTCCATACACACTAAAACTTATTGCATACATAAAATTTAAATTAGCTGGTCTGATATAGTAACTAGGCTATGAGCTGGATAAATGGGGTTTGATTACCTTCAGGAGAAAGGACTTGCCTTCACCATCATGCACAGTTCAGACGGATCTGACATATAAACAGAAAGGGGAACTGAAGACATTTTTAAGAGTCACAGAAGAATAACAGTACATATGAACACAAAGGGGGACCCAGAAAAACCAGGAAGAGTATTGTGAAGATATCGCTAGAACAAGAAATATGAATATGAATAGAATGAGCTCAAAATCAAAGTCAAAGGCTAGAAGAATCAGACCTGTGTAACATCACTACCCCACTTGATATATAGCATGATAAATGATGCTCTGAAAAACTTAAACTATTAACACACATATTAACCCCAAACCTAAAACTAAACTTAACTTTCTGGCTCTGTGACTCACCTGTCAGAGGAGACTGACTTCTTGAATTATCTCTGCTGTTTGCTGACAAGTCAATACATTCTGCTGAAGGGCTCTTGAAGACTGCATTCCCATACCAGTAGTTTTCCTGATTCTGTGCTGGGTAACTCAATTCTGATGACAATGCACCTGAGACAGTGTTACCATTGGCTAGTGCCTTCCAACCATTTTGTGGAAATCGTGACATGAAGTCAGGGACTGGAACCGAGCTCAGTACATTATGTCCTATTGGTGCAGAATGGTAGAAGCTTGATAAAGATGCAGACCGTTGACAAGAGGTAGATCCAATGGCAGTGTGGGCAAATTGCTGGTTCTCAGCTTCGTCTCTCAACACGCATTTCTGCTTCCTCACTGCACAACAAATATATATATTGCCATGTGTTAAGTGACTAGACACAGAGTTTGGGCTGGTAATGGGATTTACTGAACTATTACAACCCTTAACTATAATTAATTGTAACGATATCACCAATTCACACTCTCTACAGTTCACTATGTCACACATTAAGACTTCTCAGTCTGCTGTGTCTTCACCTGTCATCATCTGGTAACAGCTCTCAATGCTGTAGACTCCTCAGCTTCTGCATTGCACCACTCGGGTCCTCACTGGCTGACACCTAACTCACAACTAACTCTTCATGGCTGTAACTCCTGGCCACTGTCTGTGTATCTTCGCCTAGCCTCCATTGGCTAACACTAACTTCTGCCTCATCTGCGGACTGCTAACCCTTCACTACTTGCTCTCTACTCCACAGTCATTAACTGTGTTTCAATTCTCCAGATAAAGCCGCTGCATGGACCCAAAGGAAACCACTGCTTCTCACAATTTCTCTACTGTTGCATACATAGCTGTTGCTATGCTGGCGTGATGTTTAGTGTGCCATAACCTAGGAAAGGATGTTTCTTCTTGCTCCAGAATTCAGGCTTTGAGATCTCATGTCATAATATAGACTAACTGTGAATGTATGGCCATGCCATAGCTCAAGCTGTTAGTCGCTGGTTTAGCAACGCGGTAGCCCTGGTTCCATCCCGGGTCTGGTCAAGTGGGATTTGTGGTGGACAAAGTGGTGCTGGGGCAGGTTTTCTCCAAGTACTTCGGTTTCCCCTGCCAATCTTCATTCCACTAACTGCTCCACAATCACCCTCACCTATCATCTGGGGCTGGTACAATAGGCCAGAAGTGGCCACAGTACAAGGGACTTAGTTCCACGCCAATATCAATAAAAAAACTGTGAATGTAGAAATATTGTATGATTTATGACTTCCAATTTTGTTCCACGCCAATATCAATAAAAAAACTGTGAATGTAGAAATATTGTATGATTTATGACTTCCAATTTTATATCACACATACACCATTTTAGGTTGAATGGGAAACTCTGTCTGGTAATAAAATAAAAAAAAAAACTCCACACATACAAGATATTAATCAAATAAATATCCTCACACAAATCTTACAAAATTTTAGGTAATATTTTACTCATGTCATTTTTGGTGTTTGAAGTAGTAATAATTACCAAGAAATTAAAAAATTCTGTATACAATTCCCATTTCACTCATTCATGCTACATGTCTAGCTCACACCAGTGGTGGTGGTGGTGGTGGTGGTGGTGGCGGTGACAGGTGGGGGGTGGGGTGGTGATAATCACTGAATTTCTAGCTGGAAAATTAAAACTTTTTATTGCTTTTGAGTCAATATATATGAGCCATTCAAATACAGTATTAAGCACTCTGACAGACTTCACAGGGTTAGTGAAAAAGATCCTGAAATAAAAAGGAAATCTGTATATACAGGCCACCCAGGAAACTGCTGTACTGCCAAAAATGTAAGGTGAGTGAAGATCCTACCGAGTCTAACTTCACATCTGCGGAAAAAGAAAATGTTAATGCTTAAGACATTTCCCCGTGCTGTCAATCTTGTCTCGTTTTTTGAAAAACCTTCCTGACTTCATAGGGAAGCTACTTACAGAGTGTAACTGCTGTGTCTCTCTTCTAAAAAATTTTAATCGAAGTGAAGAATGCTCCTGGAACTTAGTACAAATATCATGCCCATAAAAGTCCAACTCAATTCTGTCTCTCAATTTCCTAGCATAAATATGAATACAGAAGTGAATTTCTGAGTTATGAGCCAATCTAGCAGGTCTTGCTGAAAAATCCTTGCTTTCTGATCACCAAATAAATTGGAATCTTGGCCAAATTATGCAACATTTTCAGAGCAATTGTAACAAATTTATAAAAGATTACGCTAATGAATAAGAAATTGTCTTGTATTATGTTCACTTTTCAACACATACTATGTAAATGAAGGATTATCTCATAGAAAGCTCAACACGCTCATAAACTGGAATAATTACATACAGTATTAAGTTGCTCACTGTTCATCAGGTTTCCTTTTCTGCATTAAATAACATTTCTTGATTGTAACCTATAATGTTAAATTTAAGGCTGTGTAGCATATCATTATGTATAATATTGTATCACTGCTTAAAACGATTCACTTACATACTGGACCATGAAAAGAGACTTGTAAATGCAAAACGAGATGTTACAACAAGCACACGTATCCAGCATGAGTTCTCATTTTGTGAGCATGAACCCAGATGAGTCTCATACTCATCCATCCTTTCACGCTGAGCCAACCCCATAACAAATGATTGCTGCATGGTTGCACTATATTGAAAATGCACTGCATATATAGTTTCTTGTTTCTCCACCCCTCAGGCCTCTTCCTGTGCTGTGCCTCCCTCAAACGTTTAATGACCTAAAAGTAAAACTGTCCACTGACTGTCTGACCACGTGGAACAAACTCATGCTGAACGACGACCTTCCCATAAAAAAAGGATCAACAACACCTTCACAGTTGATCGACTCTGACGTGCTTCTTTTGGTCGCAGCAATGATTTTCCCACCAACTGCGACGATTGAGCTTCAACATCTGAAAAGTCTCTGTAAAAGTGTTTGCCAATTTTAAACAGAATTTCACGCAAACACGTTGCTCTTCAAGGTCCTTCATGTTCCAACTTGCAAACATCGTAAAAGGCACAAGAGATAGATTCACTCTACCGCATATAGTCAATGACTAATTGATGTGGCATGATCAGATAGGTGTCAGGTTAAAGATTAAGGTTACCACTACACAGAGCCACTGTTGCGAGTCACCTGTGTTTGCGCATTGGCGCCCTATTTAACAAGTTCGGTTTCTTTTTGGATAGACCACATAAAGTTCATGGGCGCCCCAATATCGGCAATAAATAAACATACATATCCAATTCTAAAAACACAAGAAATAATCACATATTATAGGTATGTAAATGACATACTTATAATATATGACCAAAACAAAACAAACATCAAATAAACACTTAATAAATTTAACAACATAAACTATCCATAAAGTTTACCGCTGAGAAAGAACAACCTGAGAAAATCAACTATTTAGACATTACAATACACAGCAAGGACACAAGATTAGAATTTTCAATATACAGACAAACCTTCACAGGCGGAAACTGTAATACATAACAGTTCATGTCACCTATACGAACATAAACTGTCAGGTATTAAGTATCTATTACACCAGTTATACTCATTTCATCTAACAAAGGAATCAAAACTAACAGAAAAACACTATAAAACATACTACAGAAAAACGAATACAACACAAATCTACTTGAGAAACTGCTATCACAACCACAAAAACAAAACATACATGAAGTTCCAAAACACCACAAAACAAAACATACATGAAGTTCCAAAACACCACAAAACAAAATGGCACACATTTACATACTGCAGAAAAGAAGTAAGACATATAACCAAGCTTTTTAAAAGCATGCAAATCAGAGTAGCTTTTCACACACACAAAACACACTCAATAATATGGTCAAACATCATGCACACACAAAAAAATATATGAGCAGCAGCATACATCAGATGAAATGCCTAGATTGCCCATTTTAATGTATTGGTCAAACCAGAACAACATTTAATGTAAGAAATAAAGAACATATTCATGCTATCAGAAGTAACAGTAGTGATTCTGGGTATTCAATTATATTTTAAACACGGTACATATGGCACAACAACAGACACTATGGACATCATTAAGACAGGAAGGAGGGGCAGACATTTAAACACCTTAGAAAAGTATCACATTTACAAAATTAGCAGGAACAATTTATACATGAACAACACACAAATTGAAGCACACAATCCTGTATTCCGAACAGTACACAAACTTTATCATGGGCAGCAGCACACATGCTACCTAGAAAGATATTTAAGTGCGAACAACTACACCAAAATCAGTACAAGGAACACAAAGCAACACCACACGCATACAACAAAGAGAGCGGCACAACCAATGGGACACATAAGTAAAAGAAGAGAGATACAACACCTCGGTACACAAAGGTAGCATTAAAGAAAGAATCATATGAATAAACATGTTATTATGCATGGTAGAGAAATGGCCGCAATATGAAAGATACAAAGAAAAACATCCTATGACATCAAAATTAACGATAACAACATGCCTTAAGAGTACTATCTGACCATGTGCACAATGCAATACTCTCCTTTAAAAATGTGTTCCCTGAAGATGTCCGTGTGGATAAAACATGTAGTGTAGCATAGCACAAGCACTGAATGTACATTAATGACATTTCAAATATTTAACAAACAATTTAGTGAATTGAATGTGAGTTAGTTTCAATTATAGTTTAAATCGATATTGTTGTATTATAGACAGAAAAAACAACAAAAAATTACACTTACAAATTTTAGATCAACCACATTTATGGAAGTTTAAAATCATAAAAATAAAATAATGTGAAGGATCTGAAATTATACCTAACAATTTAAGCTAGTGAGGATTTGGACCAATTATAAGCAGAAATGGATCACCGCATTACAGAATTAGTAACTAAAACTTCTGATCAATCTATTTATTTTTTTTTATTGCTAGTGGGGTGGGACTAAGTCCCTTGTACTGCGGCCACTTCTGGCCTACTGTACCAGCCCCAGATGATAGGTGAGGGTGATTGTGGAGCAATTGGTGGAATGATGATTGGCAGGGGAAACAAAGTACTTGGAGAAAACCTGCCCCGGCACCACCTTGTCCACCACAAATCCCACTTGACCAGACCCAGGATCAAACCTGGGCTGCTGCAGTGGGAAGCCAGGGACTAACCACTTGAGCTATGGCGTGGCCTTGATCAACCTATTACATAGATACGAAGATCTGTAGGGAAGCAGGCACAAAGTTCTTCCAACAACTTCAGTTTTGTTAAAAATGTAAACAAAAAGATGGGAGTATATGGGATCTAATTACCCTTCTATGTCATCCTATACAAATATAAGCCAACTATCTTTTTTAAGATTTCAGAATATCAGATAACAGAAAGCTGACTCATGCAATGCATCTACTGCCTCAGCCTTTACCTCTATGATGGTCTGATCTCTCAGCTTCACCACTGTTCTTAAGTAGTTCGTAATACTATTTACACCGAAACCTCAACATTACTCTACCCAGACATTCTTGCAGATACTCCAGTTTCAATATATGCAGTGCCTTTATTCTGCATTCATGCAAATGTACTTATCAACACAGATGTTTCCACTGAATTGACAGACACCTACAGAAGAGCTGACACATTCAAATTAAGATTCCACACACTCTTTTACCACAGTTTCTCCAACCCCACAGGGTGGCACATGTGCCATGTTAGAATTGTTACTGGTTGAAATTCGTTAAAAAAAACATTTCAATGTGATCTTGAACTTATATGTTGGCCCATTCATCTGAAAGATATTAAGAGGGTCATACAGAAGGACTTCATATATTTGAATGCAGTCTAAACACCTTCTGTAACACATAGTATTCAGTACCTGAAGGTGTTTTCACGGGTGGTCCCTCCTTACCTGATTGTGTTTTCACAGGTGATCCCTCCTTCTTATCCCGATCCAGAAGTCTATTTGGATAGCCAACAGTTATTTTACGGCCAAAAACATCTTCTCCATCCATCCGTTTCTGTGCCCTAGAAAGTAAACGGTTCTAGTCCATAAATTTCACATATCACTCACTTCTTACTTGTATTAACAGAAGAAATTTCAAACACCTTAACATACTGAACAAGAACTAAAAGTCTGTGATGATGGTATATTAGTATAAATATTATGTTTCTGCACATTATTCACAAAGACAGAATGATGGATAATGTCCAGAAACAATATATTTGTACCTTAACATATTCCATTACACACAGGTCCATAATATACGAGGGTTGGAACTTTAATAGTGGCAACACTGTTGTAGAGACACCATGCAACGGAACCAAATAATGTCACTTAAACCACATGTTAGTTACATACCTACCTTACCTCAGAGCAAATGGACTCTCCCTTCCCACATCACGCGCATGTGGAGTGACGAGAAGAACGGAGCCCTGTGTTAGCTGGCAGTCTAATGCAGCATTGTCATGATGTTTTCAAAACACGAACAACGGAGTTGCATAAAGATTGAATGTGCCAGAGGCTGTAGAGCATGACAGTGCTCATCAAGGTCTTCAAGAGGCTTGCAGGGAATCACCATTACCTTACAGAACAGTGGCAAGGTGGGTAAAAGCCTTCAAAGAGGGACACCAAAATGTGGCAGACATGCGTCGGCCAGATCGTCCTAGTGCCACTGAAGAAGTGTATGCCCTTTCCACGTTACTGGAGAGTGATCAATACCATATGATTCATGAGCTGTCCTAAGAGACAGGATTAGCGTATATCACTGTGCTTCACATTCTGAAGGAACACCTGGGCATGAGAAAAATTGCATCACGATGGGTTCTGCATGATTTGACGGAAATGCAGAAATGTCTATGATACGATGCTGCTTGTAACCACTTGGAGCGCTATGAGCGTGAAGGAGAGGCTTTCGTACGCTGTATCATTATGCTGGATGAGACATAGGCCAAATCATATGACCCACAAATGAAACACCAATCAAACAAATGGCGTCATTACGGGTCACCACGAAAATCAAAAGTTCGTCAGAGCCCCAGCAATGTGAAAGTTATGGTGATTCTTGTGTACAACTGTGATGGTGTTATCCTAACACATACCGCTCCCTGACAGCAGACTGTCAATGCGCAGTGTTAGTGTTCATTTTTGTAACACAACCTGCGAACAGCTTTGAGAAAGAAGCAGCAACACTTTCTGCAGAATACATCCATCATTTTGTAGGACAATGCTCGGCCGCATGCAGCGCAAGCTGTGGCTGACAGCAGACTGTCAATGCGCAGTGTTAGTGTTCATTTTTGTAACACAACCTGCGAACAGCTTTGAGAAAGAAGCAGCAACACTTTCTGCAGAATACACCCATCATTTTGTAGGACAATGCTCGGCCGCATGCAGCGCAAGCTGTGGCTGATCTGTTTGATCGATGGGGCTGGGAAGTGCTGTACCATCCACCAACCTCCCTGGACTTAAGCCCTTGTGACTTCGATTTGATTTCTAAGATGAAGGAACCACTGCATGGCATTTGCTTCAGAACTGTTCCAGAGATTCTTCAGGCAGCAGACTGCTCCATTCGAACTATCAACACAACAGGCACTGCTAAAGGTATCCTACGACTTCCACAACATTGGCAACAGGTTCTACACAATGCTGGTGACTACACTGGAGGACAATAAAACTTTGAAACATGCATCTATTTTGTATCAGTTGTAAATAAATAGTTACCACTATTAAAGTTCCAACCCTCGTATAATTTGGTGATAGTGTATAAAATGATTAAAGTGAGCAAATATAATGCCCGCTCCCCCTTTAAAACCAAAAATTTCTTAATATGAATCCAAATTCCCACATGACAATTTCTTCCTCTTACTATTGTGTTTCTGAAAATTATCCATAGTCATACTTTTATTTTAAAATTCCATCCTGTTTTTAATTAAAACACAATGTTTTGGAGAATTGATTCTGTCTCTGTCTTCAGATGGAACCTACTCAGTTGGTCCCAATCAATACAGCAAGTTCCTATCTCTGGACACTTGCAGCAACACAATATAGGGCGTACAAACCAACAGCAAAAACCATGTGTGTATAAGTTAAAACAAATATTACAGATTAAAAAAAAAAAAAAAAAAAACTCCACATGTATAAGGCGACCAGCGTACTATCAGATTAATGACATCATTAGAGAGAGAAAATCTCTGTATTCTATCAACATAAGCAACTTCATGGAACTGAGCCCTTTGTGACAAGCTGCCAGTTGTGCAGCTACTCAAGAACTTCCCAACATTTTATGCAGCCTGAAGGTTCAATACCATGTTCACAAGAGACCTCCACTGGTCCCTATCCTAAGCCAGATCAATGCCGTCCATACCATCCCATCCTATCCAAGATCCACTTTAATATTATCCTCCCACCTACATCTTGGTCTGCCTAGTGATCACTTTTCTTCTGGCTTTCCCATCAATATCCTATTTGCATTCCACTTGCTCCATCTGTGCTACATACTCTGCCCACCTCATCCTCCTTGACTTGATCATTCTATAATTACAACTGGCAAAAAGTAAAAGTTATTATGCAGTTTTCTACAGCCTTTCATCACTTCACCTCTCTTCAGTCAAAATATTCTCCTCAGCACACTGCTCTCAAACATCTTCTGTCTATGCTCTTCCCTTAATGTTAGTGAAAAGTTTCTCAGGTAAAATTAGTTTTCTATATTCTAATTTTTATGCTTTTAGAGAGAAAACAAGAAGACAAAAGGTTCTGGACTAAACAGTATCTATCATTAATTTCTTAATTTCCTCCCAAATCAAATTTCAATTTTGTACTGTCATTTCCAAATTCCTGAACTGTGCCACATTCTCAACATGTCTACTAGCTATCCTAATGTCATGATTTTGACCTGCATTCTGTGATGAAACATCAACTCATACTTAGTTTTCTTTGTGTTTACTTCTAGACCTACCTCCTTATTAGTAACAATTAAAGTTTGTTTTCCTTTATGGTATCTATATTATCACCCAGTATATTCACATCATCAGCATAGACCTGCAGCTGATGTGTCTCTCTTAATTTCAATCCCATCCCATTTTCCTAGCCATGTTAGCTGGGCCCTTGTCACCATGGCATGGCACGTCCTCAGATTGCAGATTGAGGAGACAGCCTCCAAATATGGAGGGGAGCTGTGAATATAGTGAATAAGCAATCACTGACAAAATATGGTCATCCAACTTAGGGGATGGGCGTAGCGGCCTCCGTAGTCTAGAGGTAACGTTCCCAACTCATGACTCGTGGTACGCGGGTTCAAATACCCAGCGGAGGTCGTTGAATTTTTAAGGGCAGAAAAATTCAGGGAACAAGTCCTCCAGAAGGGACTTTAAGCTGTGTGTCCCGTGTCGTAACTTTACGGCACGTAAAAGAACCTCATATCCCCAAAGGGGATCTCTGAGCCAAATTCCAGGACGTTTCCCACCCAACAATAGTCTCTAAGGCCTCTGATAGATGGAGGAAGCATTATAGACACCGCTAAGCAAGTGGCCGAACTCGCTTGCTCGGCGGGACTGATGGTACGCACCATTTATCGGTAGGGTAGAGACTGGCAGAATATCATAGAGGGAAGCACAATAGATCAAACTGGTCGTAGTGCATGGGGAAACCCACCCTCTCTAAATAACTAACTAACTAGGGGATGGGCGTGGAGCTTACAACTCCTCCGAATTAAATGCTCTATTCATTACTGAAATATTAAGGAAACAGAGCATCTAATTTGGACAAGGTATAGGCAGCTTAATCTGTGAGGTCCAAACTTCAGCCCGCCTTGGGTATGATGTTCTGTTGGAGGATTCGATACATGTTGAAAAAAATCAAGACGTTTGACATCTAACTAGGTAGGAACCTGTCTTGAAATCTCTAAAAGATACCACGGAAATCAGAATTCTACAAACTAACAAAGGAAACTGCATGCTATTGTTGAACGAGTCCCATATATAGAGAGAAGCTATCCAGTCTACTAGAATCATGGGTTTATGAAACTCTACATAAGGATCCCACATCTCGAATTGAGAGAAAGACACAAAATTTTCTTACCAAACACAAAATTGTCTTTCCTTCTGCCTTCAAACATAAACTGACTCCTTCCCACAGTAAACCACATCAGCTCTATGGACTTAAAAAAGATGCACAAACCTGACATCCCCCCTAAGACCAACAGTTAGCTCTACTGACTTTCCCTGTTATGTCCTAGCAGATTTTCTCCATAAGATCCTGAGTCCTGTATCTGGCAATGCAGATTCCTTTGTGAAGAACTCAGAACAATTCATAAAATCAATAAAGGATATCAAACTTCAAAATGAAGACTGGCTTGTAAGTTCTGAAGTTGTCAGTCTTTCCACCAACGTACCAGTGGAAGAAGTCTTACAGGTCAAGGAACAGACTCAGTATGGATCCTTCTTTCCAAGAACACTCACCTCTAGAAGTTAAATATGTAATGAAATTACTGGACATCTGTTTAACAACTATATACTTCAAGTTTGAGGATAAATTCTATCAGCCAAAAAAAAAAAGGCATGGCAATGGGAAACTTGCTATCTCCACTCTGAGCAAATAGCACTGGATTCAGCAGAACACAAACCCACTATATGGGTCACACACATTGACGACAATTCCATGGTATTGCCACATGGAACAACAAGATTGGGGCAACTTCTTCACCATCTCAGCAGCATTAGACTTACTATCAAATTCAGAATGGAAGTTGAAGCTAATGGTACCTTTCTATTCTTAGATATTTTGGTCATGAAGAGGGGTTCTAAATTTAAACTGGAAACGAAATGAACAAGAAACCTACACATACAGGTCGTTATTTGCAATTAAAGTCCATCCACATCACATGACAAGGGGAGTCATTCACATTTTGATTAATAAAGCCAAGGTCATATATCAGGATGAGAAGGATTTCAACAACAAAATTAAGAACATAAGACATGATGAAGCTATCAAGAAGTAGCTGTCCTTCAGATACCATATACCAGGGCACTGC